TCGCAGAAACTGGCGAATGCGAATGCCCAGATAATAATCCAACTGCTGTAGCAGGCAGTCATACACAACTGCAAACTTCTCGTAGAGAGGTTGACCAATTTCTGGACAGTTGTCATTGGATGCCGCCAAGAAGCGTTGACACTTTTCGGCATCGGTGTCCGAGGAGCGAAAGCGCAGGAAGGGAATAATAATTCGGGGAGCACTCGGCGCCATTATCGACGGATCCGATCTGACGCTATGGGGTATGAACACATGACGTAGGATATGACCACACGTTCGGGTGATGGCCTCCGATGCGGCGTAGTTGATTACTACCAACTGCTCACAGACGGTCAGGAACTGTGAGATCAAGCCGCACTGGAATTCGCCGTTGAAGCTACGGCTGCCGATTGCCAGCAACGCCGTCTGCGATCGCTCGATGATGTCCCGTCCGTTCGTCACCACGATCAGTGGCAGGCGGATGCCCTTGGTCTGCAGGATGGTTACGACGACGCACAGTCTTGTGTCCAGATCGAGCGCGGGATGATCATGTTGACCGCTCTCGGTTAGCGCCAGCGACCGCGTATTCCGCGAAACCCGGCCATCCAGCATGGTCACCAGTCGGCCCGCGAGAAAAGCTGTGTCTTCAGCGGGGAACCGCGGCGCATTCGGTCGTCGGGTGCACCATGTGCAGAAATCGAACAGGATGAGCCGATAGGCAACGTATTTTTGCATGATTTGTCTCCAGACGACGCACACTCTTGTAAACACAAGCACGCAAGTCAGTGACCAAATTTAAAGTGCTGAAGGCGGCTCTATCAAATATGCACCAATGCGCGCAGTTTCCTAATTAATAATATTATCGGTTATAATACACCGTAAAATCGTAAACTTTTGAGTCTTATTTTTCTTCTGCTCATATTCTCGCTTAGAAACTTGATTATCTAATCATACAAAGCCTATGACTTAATGTCTTATCGGCTCGCTTGAAACTGGCTGTCCACATCCATACAGCGCAATATACTGATTATGATCGGATGCGCAATTTCTCTGATGGACATTTCCGCATTTGCTGCAGCAACAATGAGCGTCGTGTATTGACAATAGCCATGTAACAACAGTTGCACGCCTTTGGACGCCAATAGTCTATTATCTATTAGTAATAGATACTGAAATCTAAGCATGCATTGTCTTCTCTCGGATTAAATGACAAAATGCATAATTCAAAGCAACCGCAGAGTTTCCTTTAATAATCGCTAAGCAGAGTATGACAGTGCTTGAGAGAGGCCGTGGCGGCATGCGCCTTTCCCAATTAAATCCTGATTTTCGGTACCAATCCAAAAAGTCTGGCCAAAAACACCCTGCGTTTATTCAAAAAGTGCGGAGATTTAGCGATGATAAGTACGAATATTATGTTTAGGAGAAACGCTACGGCTTTTTCAAATACATTACTCGTTCCTTTTAACCCCACGGTAAGGCAGAGATTTTGTTAATTTTCTAAAGTTTAAATTTAAACTGTGAAGTAGTGTGCCCGCGTCTGCAACTTTTTGTTAATTTGTGGCTTGTGCCGAAGAAATCTACGTATGATGGTGATTTGTGACATGAGCAGAATTCACAATATATTTCTCAAAAATAAGCCTTTACGTTTCTATTACACCAACCGTCAACTAGCGCATCATTTAGCGTTGCCGTGATCCCTATCGTCCCCTGCGCCAAGGTTTCTTGGAGATAATTTCTCAAGGCTTCATTAAAAAGAGCGTGGGACCATCGCCTGCTTAGTCCGCTTGCATCCCCCTGTATTTCCCCGTAAACAATCGTGGCCGTAACCAGTCCCACTCGTATAAATATTCGACAACCCACGTCTTCAGAACGAGCGCTGCGTGCCGAGCGCCCGTGGATCTTGGTACAGGCGACCCCCATCTCATCAGCCACAGCGGGTCTACGGAATGGACAATGTGCAGCGTTCACCACGCTATGATCCCGTTGTGAATGTAAAAAGCATTCACAGGCCAAAAACCGCGGTAGAAAAGCCAGGACTGACAACAAACGAGCTTCGGGGAAGCCGATAACGGATTTTTTGTACAAGAACCCGCTGGACCGTCGGAAAAAGCTTTCACAATCGCCAAGAGCCGGCAGCTCCTGGACGAACTGATGCCGGTGAACAATGTGTTGGCCGGCTGGCGAAGCAGGATTGTCATCAGTCAGACGGACGATGTAGAACAGGGAAATCTCATCACGGAGAAGCTTGCCGGGCCGAATAACCATCGGCTCGCCAACGGTGCGGCGTAGTGCCACCAACGAGTCCACCGGTATAGGCGGTGATGCGACATGATGCGGCCAGAGATGGCGTGAGTGGATCCATTGGGCGCTAATCATGCTGGCATCAAAGTCGATGAAGAACATGTCGCCGTCAATATCCTGAACATATCCCAGCCACCATTGGCCGTTGTCCCGCTGCACTAGTACCGTGTTCCCGTAGTTCAGTTCGCGCGATCCATAGAATAACTGGCGATAGTAAAGGTCTGTTCCGTCCATGATATACTTCTAATAGCAAAAACTTGAAAATAGCTGATCTGTTTGACGAGAGTTCGCGAATTATTAATTTTGCGTTTGTCGAGTGGCAGATAAAAACGGTACCGAAGCGCTATAACAATGATGACATCAAGATTCAGGAAGAACATAGGCGGCCAGAGAAATTTGAAAAAAACTTACCAGGAAGTAATCGTAATTGGTAGCAGCAGCGAATTCCATCTAGTAAACGAAAATCAAAAATGGAACTAACAGCAAGAAAATCGGAAACGCAAACTTACAAAATCGGCAAAATGTTGACAGCTGTGCCGTAGACTACAGAAAAGACAACTACTACACGTGTCATGTTGTTACATGTCCAGTGCTGCTTATGGCATACTGTACACCAGGGCAGCGAATCTATGTAGCGACAATTATAATTTATTGGGTAAATGCTGTCAGTACATATAGAAAAAGGGCGCAACCGCGTAATGCTACTAACAAAGGGGTTTTAACCTTTAATAAGTATCAAATACAAGCACGCACTTAGTACTAAGACAATAAGAAAGTTTATAATAAAAACACTTCCTTGTTTGCCACTTTTGCCATCCCATCAGGCACTCTTTCTCCTGAAGAACTGCCTGTCTGTCCCTAAACTGATGCACATTTTACGAACGGTCCACTCAGTTTCTGAAGCAGAGAATCAGTGTTGCTTTAATGCGAGGTAACGCTGCTTGTGTTCAGGAAACGTTTTGTATTGGTAAGAGAGTGGACGAAGTGTATTATGTGATGAAATGATGAACTGCGTATTTTTGCTTTTAACCTATGTTAATGTGAATAACCCAAAGAAATAATACTCCCTCAATGCTGTCCTGGTCAGTTATTGCACCCATCACACATCACACATATCGCGTTTCCTCTCTGTATTCGAATGGATAGCCGCTGCCTAAAAAACTCTTTCGCCCGTTTTTGGGCTGTGGCAGTTGCTATGCCATTTCCAATCTTATCCGCTACTTAAAATATTTCAAATTCAATCGTTCAAAAACACCAAAATCGTTAGCGCGGTCCGAGATTTTATTGCGAAAATTTAGAGGACTTGCCTTAAGTTGCCAAGCGCGGCACAAAACCGAAACCGTGACAGCCCAAGTGGTCACGGGACATTTCGTCGCGTGGGGGATTTCGCCACAAGTTTCTCGTCGCACCGGTTAATTTGTTTTGGACAACTCGTTTCGCAGCTGTTTCGTTGTTTGGCATTTGGACGCACGACTTTCGGGAGTCGAACAATTATCGCCTGGTTTACGACAACGATCAGCCACAAACAAGTTGTCCTTAGAGACGAAATGTTCGTAGAACCAAATGGCCCGCGACGACATGTCGCGCAGCTAAAGAAACTCGCTTTGCTTTGTTATTAAGCAGGCTGGTGGTAAACAACCGGGAAAAATTCGGATGAACAAATATAGCCGGCATTACTGCACGAAAAAAGGCGCATGGTTAGTCAATTTTTGTATACATTTTTATTTTGTACAGTCTATATTCATATGTAATATACGGCTTTTTTGTTCCATTTTTTCAATAAAATTATTTATTCATTTTGGTTATTCTTATTTTAATTTTTAATTAATTTTTATTTAACTGTGCTGATATCCGCAATATTGCGATATGATATCAGTACCAATGATTCTGGGCTCTTATGGTAACAACTTAATAAACGTACTGCTTTCCTGAAAGTCTTGTACAGACCACAAAAGGAACAATAAAACATTTCTGCGGCAATTTAGTTTTCTTGACCATTTACCAACCCAAAAGAATCGTCAGAAGTACGCTAGGACTGGAACGAACAAGCACCAGAACCGAACATGAATTTTTTCTAACTCTTCCATCTGATAATAAGAGATGCCAGCGAAAAATATACGTAACTGTCAAAAAAATTGCCACGGGCTCTAGAAATGGCTCTTTCTGCCGCGCAAATTTTCAATCGTACCGGCCAATATTGCGTTAAGTAGGCGTTCTCAGTTCTGTGAATAATTAATAATAACTGCAAGTCTGCAATATCTGAGAGTCAGTTTTTAATGTTGATAATAAATTTCTTGCCTTATTACCACAACCACTTAGATCCTAAACAGCGAAAAATCAGCGCATCCGGAGTATACGAATATTTATACTTCACATAGCTATCCATTCCATGAGCCGCCAGGTAAAATTTTGCTAAATCTATATTTCTTAAATTAGATTTCTTTGACTTCTTGGCTTAAATATACGTATTTCCGAACCTTTCTTTGTCTTCTAATCTGCTGAGTAACCAAGAGTGGACTGCAGAATTGCGATTAGCATTACGAAACAACGGAACGAGACCAGTCGTGTAAACAACTTGCTAATTTAAAGAGAACAATAGCATGAACTTTAGAACGAAGAGATAAAACACGTTTGCGGATAACCGGTGGCGCTCGATAAGCTTACAGCATTAGGCACACTACTGACACGAGTAAAGGCAATATCTGGTATTTTCGGCACCGCATTACAATTTATACCGCTAACATAGCTAGAATGCACTTTTACGAAGTATGGTCACTGTGGTGGAAACCGTCCAAACGATCGCTAGACATCTGGAACGCCGTGAACGTGGAAGTGGACGGATTGCTGCAACTGGGCCACGTTGTCGGTCTGGATACGACAGGAAATCTACCACGCCTTACAATTGATTTCGGATGCACGACGCAGCACTCTGTGCTAGTGGAATACGGAAAAGTGTTCGACTTCTCGGACTCGTCACCAGTGATCAAAACCAGGAAAAGGGAGTTCTGCTGCGTTCCGGCGGGAGACGAATATGAGGATGTGCAAGTGCTGCTGCGCCATCAACCGGATCATCCTTGGAAATGGTATCCCGCGAAGCTCCTGGTATTGGAATTCGAGTATTTGCAAGAATACGCTCTGGTTGAGGTCCTGTTAGAGGGACAGCGCGTGCGCGAGCTGATCCCAGTACAACAGATACGCGCGCCTTCTTCGAGAGAAGATCTCCAGCGACGGATGGTTCGACCGATTGATTTTGTCATCCGGTCGTGCAATGTGCCTCAAGGATACTGGACGACCACTGAGCTGGTTCGAGATTTGTTCCGTGAGAAACTCGAAGAGTGGCGCCGAAAGAGAGCACATGGAGGAGAAGGTTTGCGCATCTTGTCTGTTCTCAGTCAAACGATCACTTACCTGCAACGCGGTGGTGAATCCCCGGTGTCAGATGTAGACGCTGTAAGTTGGTGCCTCTGCAAAGACACTTTTTCCCAAAGCGTCAATAACTTCGATGCAGGTTTATGGCACAAGCTATCTGCGAGACGCTGAATTCTAAAACAAGAAATGCGTAAATAAAATGTACAAATCGTAAATACCGGTAATTTCGTTATTAGTTGTCAGATTCTTGCTGAAATACCCGGCATACACTGATGTTTCCGATCGCGTAGGTCAGTTTGTTGAAGGAAGCTGAACGATTTGCTGGCTTCCAAAAACCAAAAACTGTAGAAGTTGAGGAAGAGGCCAAACGAAAAAAGCCTCTCTGCACCATTGAACTGAGTACATTAGCGTTGCCGCCGGTGCTTCTAGCGGAGGTTTCCAAAACACTGGACACCGTCGAGCGGCAGCGATGTCGACGTGTCAGTCATTTGTGGAATGAGATTCTGACTTCGGACGAACTGTGCAAAGAAGTTTTCCTGTCAATGAAGGACGGACGGTACGGAAAGTTGCCATGCGACTACGCTACTTTCGCTTGTGTCTTTAAATACGTCACACCAGCCATGCGAACCATCTGCATTCGGGACGCGGATGACAACTGCGAATGCGGATTCGAGCATGAAAACACCACGGTCACGGGCGAATTAATCAAGTATACTAAGAAGGTTTCGAATGCCTCCAACATCCGCATTGACCGGTTGGTAATGCACACGCGATCCATCTCCATTTCGCAGCACAATTATTCGGTGTGGGATTACTTCCCAGCAACCACAAAGTGTATTCCAGACTAATGTCCTGCTGTGACCGGCTAATTTGGAATGATTTCTCGCTGACTTATTCCACCTCGGTAGATGATGTTCCTGAAATGAAGTTTCGCATTCCATTGGCGGTTTTTCAACTTGAAAGTTTTGATGCGGTGAACATTCCTGATATCTTCGAGAAACATTTGCAATGGGAAATACCGGCTAATGTGGATACGCTGGCGCAGTTGTCGGCAGACCTGACTGAAGATAAACGCGAGGATTTCTACTTGGAAGTATCTGACGTAAGTACTAAACAATTCCCTCTGTATTGTGCTGACTGGCAGTCAGAAGTCTTTTGCAGTATTAATTTTGCACACCGATTATTATTGCAAAATTTATTCTGTTACAAACTGGTAAAATTTTTGAGTTTCTTGTAGATTCTAGAAATATTCCAGAAGGAAGATCCGCGCTCATCCGCGCAGTATTCAGACCGCGAATGGAACGTGGGCGAACTGGGCGATTTGGATGTGCGAAAGTTCAGTAAAATCTGCCAGTTTGTACTCTGTAATCGAGTAAAGAGTTACCGCGATTTATTTTCTGTAACCAGTCACCGCGCCGAAGAAATGCAAGATGAAACTCCACAAGACACTGATTTAGGAAGCCATTTATCTTTCTAGCTGAGGCACTGAAAACTGAACATTAAGCGGAAAGGCCAGCTAGAATTAACCGCATCCTTTTGCTGGTTTGTTACTCTGCTGCTCTGACGACTAGTGCGTAAATTGGGAGTAAGTTAGATACTTCATAGAATTCTGCTGAATCAGGAGCGTAAACCGTGCACAATGACCGGTTTGTTTTATAACATAACATTTAATGTTTGCTAGAAGCTAGAAATTATGAAGAATGACAAATGTGAACGCTTGATATGTGATGGTCAAGGCGCTACGACGCTACCATAACTAAATGTTACGCTACCATAACTATAACATGTTACCGTAACCGTCTTAGTTTCGGTCACGGTAAGGGCTACCGTAACTATTGTTAACGGATTGCCGTCACCCTTGCTGTTGAAACTGAAAGCGTAGCCAAAGGCAACGCCGAACTGCGGACCAAGCCAGCGCAGAGTAGCGAGCGGAGCAGCAAGTAAATTCAAAGGGTTCGATTTTTCATTCTTCCAAAAGATTTTTTACGGTGTAGTTCAGACGTTCCATTATCGCGATGATACAGAAGCGAATAACCGTTTCTACGGAAATCGAAGGCGGAGCCGAAGGCGACGCCGAGCTGCGGCGTGAGCAAGCGCAGCGCAGCGAGCGGAGCAACAAAGTAAAACTCAAAGGATTATTATATCTTTTCTTCGGAAATGGTTTTGTTTACGGTTCAATTTAAACGTTTACTTTAATGATGATACTGTACATTAGCGAGTAACTGTTTCTAAGAAAATCAAAGCGGAGCCAGAAGCGACTCGAGCTGCGGCGAGAGTAAGCGCAGCGAAGCGAGCAAAGCAGCAAATAGAACGGAACGACTTTTATTTTTTAGTTTTCTTTCAGCTATTGTTTTAAAAAAAATTACCATAACCTAAACACTGCAACGAATATCGTAACCGTGAAGATACAGTTATCGCTGTTACCGATTAAAACACGATAACGTCTGGGTGTGCTGGAAAAAGCCTTTTCCGGTTACGAAGATCTCATTTTCCGAACTGTAATGGAATTAACCGACGATGACGATGGTGCCGAGTTGACCGGCCGACAACGCAAACAAAAGATATGCAGCAAGAGTCTGGATTGCGATGGGCGTGAATCGGACTAAGCGGACAGTGGTTTAAAGGAAATTTGCAAAACGACCTCCAAGCATCTGCTTTGGAAGAGCTTTCGAATGGCCATAAGAAAAAGAAATATATAAAGATTATTTTGAATGGAAAGTGGAATGGAAGCATTTTCAGCTGGTTTTGGATCTGCTGAAAGAGAAGCCGATTTGCTTCTCAAGTCTGTACCAAATGTTACGAACCTAAATTAGCTCCTGTGATAAACTGCGTCAAATTCATAAAATATCGTTTTATGCTACTTCTGTCCGATAAAAATCTGCAGCGCAATACGGGCTCATTCCAAAGGATGCCCAAAGCATACTCCCGGCGTCACGGTGGTGACTGGTGATACCTCCCGATTCAATTACATTCAAAATATGCAGGATGGCTATGTTCAACGAGAGCCAGGAACAGCAGCACGAATGCTGTGTCTGTAATGATGCGGTGTGCAGCGATGGGAAAAGATTGGCCTTGTATCTGCACTCACGTTATCTGCCGAACTTGTCACAAAATGATAGAAAAGGAAGCTTCGAGCTATCATAGGCAGCAAACGCAGTTTCGGAAAGTCGCCACACAAAACACGAAGTTGTAAAGGCCGACGGCGTGCACCGCAAACCTTTGCCAGAAAAATTGCATTTAGATACGTTGAGTTTGAAAAGTGCTCCACAGAAAATGGAAGCAGTGGTGCACAAGATTTTCAGCCTAAACAGTGTTGATCTACGGAAAAATTCTCGGTTATTCGGTTATTCTGATTAACGGAAAGCCTGGATGATTACACGACGATCGTGATTCGCAACGAGGACACGGTTCTGTATGTCAAGGACTAAAAAGGCCTTCCCGTTGCTTTAGAGGATTTGCGAAATGGGCGAATCAAGATTCTTCTTATGTCCATTTCGTTGGGCGGCAAGGGTCTGACCATTACTGGGACGACGTATTTGTTCTTCTTCGAACCAGCTATGAATGATGCAGTAAAATTGTAAACAATTCCGAAAATGTTTCAGTAAATACAGCACTCGTACATCAGTAAGACAACACGGGGGTGCGCTACGGGATCCACAGTAACGCGATTGAGTTGTGATTGGCTTTCTGATGATAATGTCTCCATTGCTACTCTTTTCGACTCGCCAAATTTATTATATAACCCTACAAAATTTTCATCAGCTATGCAAAACAATTTTTGGAAGATTGAGAACAGTAACCCCATATATGTAGCGTATGCATTTTATTTTCGTAGTACGCACTGTGAAAGGTCAAGTGTATCAGGTGCAGTGCATTTCTTGAGAGCTAATCTGTATGTCAAGGGTTAAGTTTTTGTATGTAACGGTATGTAGTGCTGCATTATAATATGGAAAATAAAATAAAATTACAGCGTCTTACAGCGCTCCTAACTTGACTAATGACTGCCAACTCAACTTTGTAATTTATTAGTTTGACGTATGTGTTTACGTACCAAAACTGTAGTGATGTACGAGAATGTCTTTTCTTGGACACAGTGTAGCCTTAATCTGAACTTGGCAAATCTGGCGAATACGTGCGATTCATGCGGTGCGAATACTGGAACAGTAGTTTAGACACTCATAATTATAATTCTGTGACATTAGCGCACGTACTGGATATAACTACTGCCAAAACTGCTGTAAAACAATTAAAATACAATTACAATACAAAAGTCTTCTATTGATACAATTACTGCCCTTCGCAATAATTTAAGAACGTATTAGTGAATTCGAAATATACATGAAGATAAAACAATTAGCAATTTTACCTCATCATTAATCAAATTGGATTGAAACTAGCAGCCTTGAAAATGAAAAACATAAAACTAACTTAGGAGCGGTATGCATTTCTGCCGCACTTACAAAACGTAAAGTATATGTGTACACGGGATACCTCGACACCTTGAATGCTCTGTGCAATCTAGCGATTTACCTAAACGAAATGTCGTACTGCTAATAAAAATTTTGAAGCCTGGGTTCATAGTGCATTACGTTTTTAGCAGGGCTAAGACAATCTGCTTTATGCTGTCCTTTAGAAAATCGCATGCCCCTGTTTGTTAACCGTCAGTGTTTCGCGAATGATGCACGCCGGATCACTGGCACTGAGCGCTCGGAATAGAACTGAACTTCAAGTTTCTGAATAAATAACCATCAACCTTTCCTTAGGCATCAACCGTGAACTTGTGCAGATCTTCTGTAGTAAAGCGTTGCAAACGTTGGATAGCACACTGCAGATATTCAAGTTGACTGCTACGCAACTGCTGGTTACGCAACTATCCACGGCTGGTTGTTTGCGGTGAGCCTTTAAGACACCTTGTGGACAGTGGAGATCTACATTTTGGAAAATGGTTGCGCTCCGAGCACCGAAGGACTTACAAACGTTTTCGTACGGCACGCCGATCAATTATTCTTACGGTTTTAGTTCCAGAAGATTTTATGTACAAACCGACGAAACTAATAACGTAGACACGTTCCATCCTTACACAGTAAGAAAAAAACGAATTACTGGAGGCAAACAACTTAGGCAACATAATACGAAACGGAATCGCCATGCGCTAATAAAGAAGGCTCAACACCTGCGCTTAAAAACGATATGTTATTGCTTCATTTATCGGTGAACGTGCGCATTGTACCCCCGACCGGCTGCTTTTCCTCTTCTACACATTCTGCCAGGTAGGCATTGCGCCGCAATATCATTCGATATAGAAAAAAGATTTGTCTTGCCTTGTTCATGGCGTTCAGCTGTTTTCGGAATTTCGCCAGCCATGCAAACGTTTGTTCAGCTGCCATCGTGTTCCGCTTTTCCGCCTCTGGATAGGTTGAGTAGTATTTATCTGGGTGGTAATCCTTACTGCATTTTGGATCTTTGTGGTTTTGTATGTGCAATCCGTCGATAATTTTGCTGACCCGCAACCACATCTCATCAAATGGTTTCGGCAACGGCAGTCGTTCACAAGCCGCCTTCAGCCGGTTTAGCTGGCAGATATTGTCGTAACAAACAAATACGAGGGTTACTCGGAAAGTAATGATAATCAGTATCAGTTAATAATCATAAAATTATGCACTGATTTTTTAAAAACTGTAGCATTCATAACTAGATCATAGGGCAATGGCCGTGGCCATACCGCCTAAGGTTGGCGGCTAGCAAGGCTCTGAACATGGCTGGGTAGCGCTGATTTTTCACTGATCACTGAAAGCGTTGCCTTAATTACTGGCCAGTTTTCATGATATTATTTTGAAAAATTGATTTGCAGAGAGAAGTGTAGAATTTTTCATGCTGTATTGCCTGTTCTGTCGCCTTAATAAGGACCATTCTTTGCTGATGTTGCCAGTTGGTTCCAGCGAACTCCCACCGAGCACTCCGTTTTGACAACGGTGCTCAAATTTTGGAATATTTTTTTGAGTTTCCACTTTCGAAAAGTAATCATAGTCAAAACCCTGATCGAGAAGGATCCTTTTCCGACCCCGAAGCAATAGCAGAGGTCTAATCATTATGGAAGGAAAGGTGTCGAGTGTGCTGCAGCTGCTTACTGATAACGCAGAAGAAAATGGTTTCTGGCACGGTATCATCCGTGTGGTGCAATATCGCGAAAATCCACAGATAAGCACCCCGTCCCTGATTTATTTTTTTCTCGGCCTGGAGTAAAATTATCGTTCCATTATTTTTCTTAGTTTACCTTAGTCCTTTATCTGTTCCAAATATTTCCTGGCTTGAAAAAAATTGTTGCGGGGCAAAAGTTTGAAATTATGAATAACTGGAAGAAAATATCAGTACACCGATCTCTAAGATACCGCCTAATTTCTTTTCGAAAACGTTTGATGAGTGGCTGTTTAGCTGTTTGCGTTGTATAGAGATTAAGGGACATTGTTTTGAGAAAATACGAGGAAAGCGCTGATGCAATAAAAAATCGTGCGATAGTTATCATTACTTTCCGAGTAACCCTCGTATATTCTCCCAGTCGTCAGGTGGCACATCTTGCAGTAACTGATATAATCCACTGATCAAAAACAGGAAGACTTGTCCAAGGCTTTCTGCCCTAATGGAACAAATTATCAAAATAATGAAAAACGGACGTACGTCCCTCCGAAACACAAGCTTCCAATCAGAAATTATCTGTTTACAGTAAAATCTCTTTATA